ATACCAACACAATACCCAGCACTCAATCAATGTTAACTATTAGCCTGGGATGTCTCATATATCTAGAATGTCTCACTCTCCAAAGGAAGCAGATAATCAAGGTCTTACTTTCATATATTTTAGAATGATTAACAGTAAGAGTTAAATCTGAAATGATTTCCTGGTTAATCCTGAACCAACAGAAATACTAACCAAAATACTGCTTTCATGAAAATTTTGGTTTGTCCAAATTTACCAAAAAAACTAGTACCCATTTATTTAAAAAACAACTAGGTTTTGTTTTGTTTTGTTTCCTATTCAAGGGCAGGGAGGAAATAAAACAGCAGCTTACCAATGGAAACTCACTTAGATATTTATAAAAATGTGATTCTCTATAGCATAAAATCCACATAAATTAAATTCAATCTCAATTGCATATATAATTTGCTAAAGATATAGACATATAACAACACAAATTCTACAAGCTTAAGAAAAATAAAAGGGTGCATCATATGATGGACAGACATTCATTCAGACCTCACAATCAAAAGATGAAATCACAAAATTTTGTTTAAAAGCTGGTGATTTTAATAATTTTAAAAACTGCAAAACTACAATAAAAATAACAAAAAAGATCAGAAACATATTTTAAGAGATTAACATATTTATGATGTTAGGTGCTAATGAAAATTAGTAAGAATATTCCAGTAAATTTATGTGCAAAGGACAAACAATTCATACAAAAGAGAAAATAAAACTAGGAAAATATTGCATTTGCTTTTCCATTGTGGATAGAGACGTTAGACAGCAGGTACTCTTACACCCATTTTTTAAAAACAAACTTTTAAAAACAAGTCTATAAAACTGTGATAAGGGCCGGCCGAGTGGCACGTTGGTTAAGAACTGGCTTGGGATGCCAGAGGGCCCCACGTCGGATCCCACATATGAGGGCCAGTGACACTGCCCTCTACAGCTAAGATACTGAACAACAGCTCGACCTGGAGCTGGGCTGCTGTGGGTCGCCGGCGACGGCGTAGGCTACAGTCCTCTGCTGCAGTGGGCTGCCATAAGCTACCGTGTCTAGTCAGCAGCCAGCGTGAGCGGCCAGCAGCCGCTGTGAGCGGCCGTCCAGAGGCCGGCGGCTGATCTGCCTCACCCGGGAAGAG